TAGAATTTGCTTTCATGATCAGAAAACCCTTTGGAAAAAATGCATAAAGCTAATTTATTTAGCTACATTTTCTTAAATCACCTTTCCTTCAAAAATAGAAGTACACAATGATTGTTTGGTCAGTCACTACCTTTCTACTGTTTACTGTGATCCGCTATGTTTTTCCTCTTTTATCTTGTGACAACAAAAGCCCAATTACTCACCATACCCCTCTGAAAGTTGAGGTTGTCCTTGAGGATGGTCAAAGTGCAATACCGAGGACGGGTGATAAGCCTATTGAAAGCAGTTGCCTGTATACTGCGTGGTGTGATATTGCTTGCTCTTCTCTTAGGCTTGTTTTCTTTGTGTTGCTTCTGGGAACTACGTTTGGATTTTATTTACAGTCGCTTCCTCTCTTTTAAGTTATTCATCACTGCCATTTGTTGGCCAGGAGGTCTTCCACCTCTTTCTTTATCTCTTTTTTTCCCTTCCCTCCCATATGCTGTGCCTTCCAAAATCCTGAAACTTAGGCTGCCTGGCCCTGAAGCCGTTTCTATTTTTATTCTAATTTCTCTTCTACCAGCCGAGATGTCACCCTTAGTTTGTCTTAAGACTTCAGTTTCTCCCTTCAGGAAACGAGTCTATTTCTAGCACATTGCTCTCACTTTCCCTGAATACTAAGAAAAAAAAATCTAGTTCATAGTTGTATATGATCTGAAGCCCTTGGTCATGGACCTGCCATTTTCCTTCATTGATCTCTTGTTCTTTTTATATTTGTTAAATTTCAATTTAACACAATTTTCAATTGTGTTTTCATAATTAATTTTTATGTGTTTTTTCTTATTTTTTTCTTTTAGATTTTCTCGTGAACAAGATATTTCTTGTTATTTCTTATTTTGTATTTTATTGTTTGGTGGTTATTCATACTGTGTTTCTGTTTTTTTGGCAATACCTACTTAATAAGTTATCCATAGGTGACTAATAAAATGTCTAATTTATTTAAATTAAGCACATGAATATTTCTAAAAAATTAGTGCCATTATTTATAGCTCTCTCACTCTAGAAATTCAAGTCTCATTGGTTGTCTTCTGTTTGCAGTACTTCTCATGTTAGCGCTATTTCATATCTCATCCTCCATGGAATAATTATATTTAGGTTGTTTTGCTACATGTGGTTTAATGATCTAATCCGATGTCTTTTTTATTATTTCCCCCCCCGCATTGTTATTTTGTTTACATGCTAAAGTGCAAAGGAACAGGAGGGGTTTTTTACTTAATCTGTTTCATGTGATGCAAAGCACAAATTAAGCTCTTAGCAACATTATCAGAAATTTCAGCTGAAAACTGGCAGACTTACCCATTGGAAGGCCTAAAGCAAAATAACAAGAGGAAAAAATATAGGTCATATAGCCAGAATGTTTTTGGAGCGATACTGTAGTAGAAATCTTGGCTTAGCCTGAATTGACCCGTGCTTGGCTATGTCTTCAGCTGTATGTCTTTGCCATTTTATAAGGGCTGAATACTGATTATTGAATGAAATGGTGAATACTGATTGCTGAATTAAGTAGTAGAACTTCAGAGAAATTAAGGTTCACTGACATCACGGCACACACAGTACAAGTTTCCGCACTGACCTAGTTCTCATTCGCATAAGGTCGAGCCACCACAGTCACTTTGTTGCATTTCCTCTATTAGTATATTCTTTTAAGAAGGAGCCAGTCTCCTTTGTTGTCTCTGTACTCCAGTATGAATTTATATAGCCCCAGATCCCAGTTCGTTGGCTTACGTGATCACTCCTCATTTCAGGCTCTGTGGCTGCACTGCCGCTCTTGGTTTCTATGAAACTGCATTAGATCCAGCCACGGCACAGGGTTGTTCAGAAAATCAGAGAGGCTGGATCACATTAAAAGTGTTTGAGCAGGTTTTCACTGCAGAAGTGCCCAAAATGACTTGCTGGGAGTGCGAACAAGCTTAAAACTGTGGTAAATAGTCATGGTTGATTTTTGCTGTGGATCAACCTCAACAGGCTACACACTTTTTATATTTTATATGGTTGGTTTAAACTGATCTCTGAATCATCCTTAAAGCATCTCTAATACGTATTTTTCCCAGTTTAAACCTGACTCGAATGTACAGTTTCTGGTATGTTTTGGCTGGGAAAATTTTTTATTCTTCCTTCTGCTATCATGTTAATGGCTTCTTGGGGATACTTCCTATGGGAAATGTAATATATATACAGTGTAGCATGGTTTGAGTTTACTAAATAGTCTGTCTACATTTTTTTTTCTCCATGTAATAAATCCTGCATTGAAGGATTAGGTCTCTGCTCCTTACCTGTTTTCCTACTCTTATTTTTCTATGAATTCAATGTTATTTTTTGTACACTTTAAAAAAAACCCAAACAAACCCAGACAGAAATTGCCCTTGACATAAGAAGGTACAACTCCTAATTAAGTCCATGGGAGATACGTCAGCTCACCCAAAGATTGAATTTAGTCCTTCTGTTTTATTGGGAAACCAGCACACAGTGCTTCATTTTATATTTGCAACAGCCGAGACCTGATTTTGGAAAAGTAATGCTCTATGACTACCTGTTACTAAGCATATGTTGTTTCAAAAGCATGTACTTTGGAAATATCCATGCAATGTGTAGTTTTTATATGAAGATTGGTGAGTACACCTTGTGGATTTGTTTGATTTTCGCTGATAATTTTGTTTGGTAAATTCTGATTCTTGCTTTTTCTCACAATATTTACAAGACAATTTAAATGCTAGCAAGGATTTGTCAAACCATCTGGCATCTTCTGAAGTAAGAAACCCTGGCCCTGGAGGAAACACAAATGAGTAATGTAGGAGCAACTAGTTAGCAGAGCACTTGTGTTCTGTTTGTCTAACAGTATACACTTACCTGTAGTTTACAAAAGAGGGGGGAGGCTACTTTTTAGAGATATTATTTTCCATGAATTTTTTTTGAGTGTAGAAAATACTGCAAAACTGGAAAAACACACATTTCATTCATACATTAGGGAACTTCATTTGAATTCTAGATGTGTAATCGAAGAAAACTTTTGCTTTGATCTGAATGCTGTGCAGTGAGTATTAGTATGAGGATGGTTTTCTTCAGAAGCTGCATTAATCTTCTGTAGTTATGTTTTTTCTTTTATCAAAGTTCTGAGGGTGATAGTGGCTGTTTCACTGTTAATATCAGGTAGGCGAATGTTTATCCGTTTCTTTCCTCTTGGGAAGTCAGATGCTTCACCGAACCTGTGGATCTTTGGCAAGGCTGACTTTCCAAGCAGAGAAAAAAAATCTTCATACCAAAATTACATAATTATCACAGTCACCTCTGTTGACAGGTGGCCAATAATTACTTTGTACAGATCTTTCCTTTTTCCAAGTTTCTCACTGAGGCTCAAGAGAGCCTGGTATGGACATGTAACATATCCCTTGAGCTTTGTGTGGACCCTTGTGCAGGTAAAGTACTTTAGCCTCAAAGGCAACACCTGGGAAAATCACATACACTTGGTCTGAGCAGTGAGCTGTGTATGTGAGAGAAAGGGGGAGACTGGAAAGAGATCTGAGGAGGGGATGTGGAACACAAAAACTTTGGAGCTTTTCTGGAAGCTGCCAACTTGAAGGAGATATTTTCCTTTCAAAGCTTGCAACTTCTCGAAGAGCACCTGCACTGAGTTTCATGCCACTGATTCTAATGACTAGAATAATCTTCTGTTGATGAGTTGACATGAAATAATAATCTAACGTAGCAAGCAGTGGTGGTGGTAGTTGCAGTAAGGAAACACAAATCAGGCTGTGGGGAAGGGACCGAATTACTGAATTTAGTTGCCAGTAACTTTGGAAATTTTAGCTGATAAAAATCTCTGAGCAAATGATGTATTGAACAAATTGCAGAGACATGGGAAATTTCAGAAATTTTCAAGTGTTTAATGCGTTGGCATGTTTACAGGGGCATTTTACATGGTTTTATGAAAGTCAACAAACTGTGCTGTTCTTGTGTGGTGGAAATTCTGTGACATAATATATTAATGCTTCCCACTGCAGAGCATGCTCAGTAAGGAAATAAATGTAAGATGTCAGTAAAACAATTGTCATGCGTATTAAAAATTGGTTGATAGGTCTTGAATAAATGTATGTAGGGAATACTTGTCCAAATTCAGCATTTTTTGTGAAGTCCTGCAGGGATCGATATGCTTATAGAGCAGGTAGGAGTGATGGCATTTGCTTTGGCAGCAATCTAGCTTGTTTGCTTGCTTGGTAATCAAATCTTATTTAAAAATGGGTATTTTAATAGACCAGGACTACAGGCAACACACAAAACTAGTGGCTGTATTTGACAGACCAGTAGCTGTGAAAGCAACTTTGCTGTTGAAGTGAAGACACAGCTGAACATGATTTGACACACCGATACGGTGGCTAAGAGATGTAACAGCGCTTGGGCTTCCCCATCCTTTGATGGTAGACAGGACAAATCGGCAGATATATCACACTTGCTTTCGACATTTGTGATGTTGTTACTAGAACCGGGTGCCAGTCTGGAGCTCGAGTATTGTTAAAGGCTGCTGATGAATTAGAAGGGATTCAGAGGTGTTTCACTAATGCCTAGAAAACCTGCCTTACATCTAGGAACTGGTTTATCCATGAAAACCTTCAGGGTTTTGCCCAAGATCGACAAGCATCTGCATGAGGCAAGAGTGTAAAGGGATCCAACTGTTCGTGTACACAGTGAAAATAAGGAGGAGGTGGGTGTGGGGAGAGCCACTGCCGTTGTGACCTGTTACTTCTAATCAGCCATTACTAGAGGGTCTAGATCAGGCCGGCTCCACTACCTAGAACTGCAAATATTTTTATTGGCTCCTGTGACTCGTGCTTGTGTATTACTAAGACAGAGTTAGCTTGGCTAATGGTAGCTGAATGGAAAAAATTAGTTTCTGTCTTGATACTGTCCATAACTTTTAGAATCTTAGTATTCTAAATAATTTCTTGCCTCTTTTTTTTGTAGGGCACCAATGCCTCTGCTCTGGAAAAAGACATTGGCCCAGAGCAGTTTCCAATCAATGAGCACTACTTTGGCTTGGTCAATGTAAGTACCATTCTCAGCAGGCAAACTATATGCAGAACTGTGGCTTTGATGCTACTTGAACTTTGTTTCTGCTTCCTTTTTTTTTTTTTTAAATCCCTCAATCTTGTTCTAAGGCAGGATTGTAATTTTTTTTTTAAAAAGTGCTGCTTACTTTCTAATTTTGTGCAAAAAGTGGGTTGCAAAACTGTATCAGGTTTTTGAAGATAGCTTCATATGCCCCCAAAGAAAACAGTTTACTCTTCTATGAATGTTTCCAAGGATTAGAATTTACACTTCGGCAAAGCTGAAAGTCTTATTTTAGCTGTGAAATGTGAAAGAGGAAGTGATGGAAGTATGTACAAGCTCAGGTACAGCAGTCTGCACTGGGGACTCTCTAAAGAGAAGGGTTTTATCTGACTAAGGAGAGAATGAATGAGAAGTGTGTTCAATCATTTGTTTATTCCCATATAAATAAAACAGGTATAGTAATTCTTCCCATTGAAAACACATTCTGCTACTGAGCAGTAAGATAGAGTCCAGCAAGAGTATATTAACATATGGAAACATATGAGATTCGCTACAATAAATATATCTCCTGCAAGTGGAAACTTTTACTTTGTATCCTAGTTAATTAGAACACCAAAATGTTTTTTCTGTGAAGTGTCAGGGCTGGGTGGGGAAGTACATTCCTACAGCAGCTGCATGGCAAAACTTCTAGTATGTGACAGGGGCACAGAAGCCAGAAGTTGAATGAAACAACAAGCTTTATTGTGATGCACAGGGATTAAGACTGTTTTTAATTTTACATGGCAGTTTGGGAACACCTGCTACTGTAACTCCGTGCTGCAGGCATTGTATTTTTGCCGGCCGTTTCGGGAGAATGTATTATCATACAAGGCCCAACAGAAAAAGAAGGAAAATCTCTTGACTTGCCTGGCAGATCTTTTCCACAGTATTGCTACTCAGAAGAAGAAAGTTGGAGTTATTCCACCAAAGAAGTTCATATCAAGGTTACGAAAAGAGAACGGTAAGTGTGAAACCGGAACCTTCTTAGACATTCATACATTGATCAGGAAAGTATAAACAAATACTGGACAACATGATCATATTAGTCAGTTGTTCAGATTAGATTTGTAAATTGCTTTTAGCACCTTTTGGGGTTTAGATATGAATATTTTAGTATCTCTATACATGATATTATGCTTGAAATATCCATACCAGGTTTCATATGTTCCCAGAGGTGCATGAATTAATGATGTTTTCACAGCACGGTGGGACACACCACACTATACAGTGAGCTAAGGCTGGGAATAGGGTGACTCTCTGCTCTAATTTTTCAATGTTGTTTTTTGTGCGCATGGCATATGGCAGAGAGAAACGTTGAGGGGAGTTGGCAGCATAGAAACTGCGTGACCTGGGAGTGCTACACTACGGGTCCAAAACACCCTGGAGGACAGGAAACTGTTTGTAGTGGGGGTATTCAGTGGACTACATGTCAGCTGTTGCTCTTGTTCTTAGAAGTGGTGGGCACAGTCCTATCTGTGAAGCATCAGGCCTTTTTTAAGCGTTAGGTTGGCAACAACATATGCTTAATCTTGGAGTAGTACTGTCTAAGGGATGTGTAGAACATCTTGAAATACGGAAGCCTGCCACACAGCATCATCTTGGCCTGGATTCCTAACAATGTGGGTGGTATGCTTAGAAACAGAAGAGCTTTGAGTGAAGAGGCAGAGTATGAGTCAAACACCTGGAAGAAATCTCTTCCTGATGACAGCGTATAAATGGGTAGATTGTTCATTCCATAGCAGGCTTTTGAAAGTGTGGCAAAGTTTGCTCTGAGTCATCTAGTGATAAATGCCTCCACACTGTTGGGGATCACTTTTAGGGATTGGATCTTATGTTTTCAGCTTTTTAAAATTAGGGCCAGACTCGGCACGTATTAACCTGCTTATGTGTCCGGGGTAGACACTGCAAAGCTGAAGAATCTGTGCACTGTTTTCTGAGGAAATCCACATGAGCTTTTTCAGGAGCAGAGGATAAAAATACACATTTCTTAGGAGTACGGATTATATTTTCTTCAACATGGTGGGCAAATTAAGCCTTCTCTGGAGAAGTCTGTACTAAGTCACCACTGTGATATTCTCCTCTCCCCCTGCAAGCATTTCCTATTGAAGAGGACAAATTTTCTTGTCAGACTTGTGTGTGAAAAATGAACTTTGTTAGGTGGTGTTATTATTACTCTTTGTCGTGGGTTAAGTTTGGTGTGCTGCCAGGTATACCCACAAAGCACTATGTCTTACCTCCTCAGCAGGACAAGGAGGGAAAATAAGATGAAAAAAAAATCTTGTGCATTGAGATAAAGGCAGTTTAGTAATACAGAAAATAAAAAAAAAAAAGGAAAGGTGACATGCAGAAGCGAAGCAAGACCAAAGGAGATTTATTTTTTATGTCCTGTCAGCAGGTGATTTCAAGTCACTCCCTGGGAAGCGGGACCTATGCAAACGCATAGGAGTTTTTGTGGAAGTCTAACATCCTGATAATGCGTGCCCCACCTGCCTCCTTTCTCTTAGCCTTTATTAGTGACCATGAAGTCATGTAAACATGAATATCCCTTTGCTGAGGTTGGGCCAGCTGTCCCAGCTATGTCCCATCCCAAACTCTTGTGTATCCCCAGCCCACCAGCCTTTGGGGGGTTGGTGAGAGGGAAGCAGATGGAGAGACAGCCTTGATGCAGCAATGGCCAAAACGTCGGTGCATTAGCAACGCCATTCTAGCCATACATACAAAGTGCAGCGCGGTATGGGCTGCTATGAGGAAAGGTAACTCCATCCCAGCCAGACACAGTACACTTGTATGTGTCGTAACGTCTTCAGTTGCCCCAGTCATGTGCCTTACTTTTCAAACTCGGTGATGTTCTGAAGTGTCTGAGAGACTTCGAATATATGGGTGGGAGTCAGTGATGCCTAAAATTAAGCATCTAGCCTGAGGAATTAATTGGGGTGAGTCACCCTCTTGCTTTCTTCATTAGCTGTAGTGGGAGCCTACACAATCAGCTCCAAAGAGTGTAACCTTTCAGACATCTAAAATGAGGCGAGATGAAGCCTTCCCTCCAAGTAGTTTCACTGAAGCCAGCATGACTGCAAGACTGCTTTTCTTTGGCATGATCATAAATACTTCACTGAGCAAGGGCCAATACATGGATTTGGAAAGAAATAACAAGTTTATTTTGCTTTCTTGAAGGAAAGGTTACACTCAGCTTTAGGAATTTTGACTCTCTTCTTCACAGATCTCTTTGACAACTACATGCAGCAAGATGCACATGAGTTTTTAAATTACCTGCTCAACACCATCGCAGACATTTTGCAGGAGGAGAAGAAACAGGAAAAGCAAAATGGGAAACTCAAAAATGGCAACATGAATGAAGCTGAAGAGAACAATAAACAAGAACTCACCTGGGTGCATGAGATTTTTCAGGGAACACTGACTAACGAAACTAGATGTTTGAACTGTGAAACCGTAAGCATTGAGATAGATGGTTTTTGTTGTTGTTGTTGTTGTTACCCATTTATAGATAGATACATTTTATATATATAAATATATGAATCTTTTCAGACATCTGAGAATTGTGGATATTCCTGTAGACTTCTTGAAGTGAGTATATTCTTTTCTAAAAAATTTATTTTTCTAAGCATTACTTGGCTAACTTATGCCAAGTCTTGCTGTCCTAATACATCTCTCTACAGTTGAAATCCTTGTTAGTAATCAATACTCTTCCTTGTTACTGTAACTTTGGGAGAAGATATTCACATCATTATTCCATGAATAAGTGAAATCTTAAGAGGAATTTGTATTAATTCAATCCTAAGAATATAACTGGCATATATAGGGTTTATTGTTAACAAGCCACATGTTTTCTTTTATCTCCCCAATATTTTCTAGAAGATGTTGTCAGTTTGAAGTCTCTTATGCTTGAAATATGAGTGAAAACTAGTTTTAGTTGGGAAATGATCTCCTAGCAATTTCTGTGGTTTTCAACCATGTACTCTTTAGGGAAAAGAAGGAGTAATAATAATAACAATAAAAAATTCTGTCTGTAAGGTTGCTATGTGAAAGAGTAATACAGACAGGCAAAAAATCTGTTTGAGGGAGAACAGTGACAGTGACTTTCCAAAAAGTTTGGAATTAACCTCACCAAACTTTGCTTTGTGAAAGGTAGGTGTCCAAGATGAACTAGTTTTCTCAGGTCCTTCTGTAGATGATGGATATGGCAAAGGAGCTCTTGCAGGGAGCTCTCTCCATCTGTCTCTAGGCTGTTTCATAAAACAGTTTTTAGCAGTATCAGATATAATAATGGGTTTTTAACTTGGACCAGTACTGCTACCAAGAGCTTCCTCTAAAGAAAATATAACTTTAGATCATCTTCATTAAGATGAGAGAAGGTGCCCAGAGAAGGTGTCCTCAAACAGCAAGCTAACATTAAACATCTAATTTTAGACAGCTGAAGTCAAATGAGGTAAACTCTACCTAGATCCTACAAGATGTGTAAAAGAATGTATTCTGACATCTCTAATCATAAAGAATAGCTCTGTACTCCAAGAAAATATGGCTTCTCCAGGGTTTTGTATCAGAGAGGGAGGAGAAAGAAACAAAGTGGTAGTCAAAAAAAAGGGTTGGACTGAGTCTGGAACAAGCTTGCATAAGTGAAAACATGAGAAAGATATTGAAAATTAATTCTTTAATCCATTTAAATTCTAAAAACCCAAGTAACAATAGCAAATTAAGATAAGTGAAAGGGTAGAATTATTTTTTCAACTGACAAGCTTCTTTAAATGGTTGTGGCCTAATTCTGAATTAAAATCCAGTGTTTACTCAGACAAACTGTACTGAAGTCAGGATGTGTCCCGGGGTAACAGCAAAAGTGCACAATACCCTCTTTGTAATTCAAAGGGACCAAGCTTTATGGGCAAAATAGCACTAGACAGTGCTGCTGTAGCTTCCTGTGAACACAGAAATACTGTATGCTACTCGGGATAATTTTCCAGCTTGCTTTTCTTGTGTTACTGGATCTTGAAATCTTTGGGAAATAGTAAAACAGATTAAGAGATGTGTCTTTGCTAAAATACTCACATGTAGTGCATGCAGAATCATTCAGATTTTAGCAGTTCTTATTCTCACTTACAAAGGCTGCAGCTTGAATCTGGTTTTCCAGCTACCTTTAGTTTTGGTCTGTATTATTCTAGCTCCAGCTAGCTCATCTTCCCCTTTGAGTAAAAATTTGATGTGCTGAAATCAGTTACAAAATTCCTAGCTTCTCGATGGTGTTCAGATGAACCACTGTACAAAAGCCCAGACTTTTCCAAGTGTTTAACCTCTTTCTTCATATGCAGTGTGTCTGACAGACCTCTAGTTCCAGCCATAGAGACATGATGTTCTCTGAAGCTTTGTTGCTCTGTCTTTTGAATTTTAGCTGCCTGTTTTTATTGCAGTTGATTGCTGCCAGTTTTGTTTCCTGTCCCTTGTGGGTCAAATCATGTTTTAGGGAGGATTCTTTTGTTTGAGGAACTGCTGTTCATTTTCATTGGGTGCATGTCTGATAGTATCAAAATTCAACCTGCTAAAGGTATTCCACTGGATTCAGGACGGATATGGGCTGCATTCGTCGTGTTTACAGGGTCCCTGACATAACACAAAGATGAGCTGAAAATAGTACATAACTTTCACATCCATGGAATTACAGAAATCTGAGCGTGAGGCACTTATGTCAGAAAAACAGATTTAACCCTTCACTGAAGTTCTTGATTTGAACTTCACTGTCTTATCACCTGATTTAGTTATTCTAAGGAACTGTAATCACAGGAGGCAAAATACGGAGTGTTCATGCAGCATTTTATGAACAGAATTCGCTGTTATGAATATAACTAAATCCATGTGCAGGAAGAAATTCTGCAGTCTTTTTGACCCAAGGGTTACAACATTTAGCTGTTTGAATGATTTTTTTTTCCACATTACTTTATCTTCAAGATTAAACACCAAATGAAAAATCATTTTCAAAGCAAAAGTCAAGATCTATCATTCTGAAAATATCAGGAGTTACTTTTTTGAAATAACCCCTCCTTGTTAGAACTTTTCTCCTCTTGTGCATCTAAAAACACATGGGCAAAATTGAAATGATTTTGCAAATTGGAACAATATTTAAGGGGGAAATGCAGCCATGTCAGCCAGAAATACAAGGTCAGCCTTCTGAATGCTCACTGCAGAGAAAATATAACATGGCTAAATATGACAATTATTGACAGATGATTATTTGGAAAATATCTTCATTGCATCCTTAACAGTGGAAATAATTAAGGAGGACATAATCCATGATTATGTGGTGTAATATATTATACAAGGGGTTAATAGAATTCCAGTAAAATAAGAAACTAGGCTGTGTTGCATAATAAGGGAACATACGTAATGCATCAGTCGTGGCTAAAATAGGGGATGATGATTCCGCTTTAATGACCAGTAGTCTGTGATCACTGGCCCATAGCTGGTGGGCTTGGATAAGTGGAACAGATGGAAGTTAAATTATATGAAAGCTGGATTGATACAGTTACTAATAAATAGAGTCAAGCTGAAATGGGAAAAAATTAAAAGCATTGAAATTAATTGTTTTAGTGTAATTTATTTCTGCAGAAATTGCTCCATCTTTAGCATTTGCACATAGCTATAAACAATATTTAGATGTATGGCGTTGTACTAAGTCTCTGTTTTACATGTATATTTTTTGCAACAGGTTAGTAGCAAAGATGAAGATTTTCTTGACCTTTCTGTTGATGTGGAGCAGAACACATCAATTACACACTGTCTAAGGTAAATGAATACATCCCTTTGGCAGAGAGTTCTGTCTGACTTTGCTAAATTTTCCAAGTCTAGTAGGCATAGAAAAAAGTAGAGTAAGACTGAGGGATGAACTTTTCCTAAGCAGAAGAAAAAGACTGTAAACTGGATGTTTCCTCTAATGACAAAATATAAACTGATGTATTCCATTTACTCACTACCTTTTACCATGTATGTTTGAAAGAGGGAAAAAAAAGAATCTTTTGGGTAAAATAATTGATTGCCCTGTCATCTGGAAGAATTGCTGCAGAATAATAATTGGCTTCAAATGGATTTAAGCATGGTTACCTTTAAGCTTCTGCTCAAGTGCTTTGTTGATGAGGACTTAATGTGTGTTTTAAAAGTTAAGTGTGTGCTTTGCAGAATCAGTGCTAGAGTCCCTAGAGTGCAAAGGATTTCAGAAGTCTACTTTTCTGTCATTTAAGTTTCTTCTTCTGTGTCTCATCCTAAAATTATGGAGAGAAGTCTTTTATTCTAAATTTCAGTTCTGCTTCTAGCACAACTATTAACTATTAGTAAAATACTTCAGGGATCAAAATAATTTTCAGTCTTGCATGGATGATTATTCTGTGAGATTTAAAATATCCAGAGTTTTAGCACTGATATAATAAACCAGTACCTAGATTTAAGACAACATGCTGCTGCTGCTCTAAGGTAATGATTATTAATTGATCATATTGCTATTTCAAGCTCCAAAATTGCTAGTAGGTTTGAAATTGCATTTAACAGTTATTCTGGAATGCCTAGGAATAGTTGCCTGGCATCTCACCCCAAGACAAGAGTTACAGAAAGAGAAAGTATATGAGGAAGTGAATCAGAAAGAAGCAATTTCACTGTGGATACAACTGTACTGAGTAATTTCTGCTACATTTTAAAGTGCTAGATCCAGTAAGTTTTTCCCTTCTTAACTTCTGTTCAGTCTCCTGTAGGACACTGTAACAGTCCTTAGCCCTCAAGTAGTCCACACAACAGTAAATGGTCTCATTTTAAAAGGTGAGGAAACTGAAGAGCCACTTTGGAAAGGAGTGCATTATTATTTTTTTTTCCCACTTGTGTCTTTGTTGGTTCATGTTCACTGAGAATTGAGTCAGTATTGATACTGCAGGCTTTTGTCTGCACACTTTTAAGTTCTTCATTGTAGCTACTACTTTGAAGTTTTTTTCAGCATTACTTACTTTTTCATATGGTGTTCAAAGTCAATTTGAAATCACACTAACTTCAGCAAGGAGGCTGAAGTGTGCATCTCCTGAGGTCCTTTCTAACCTAAGTTGTTATTTGATTCTCTGATATACAGTTACTGGAGACTGAGTAGTGACTTTTCTTACAGCTTAGTCTGGTGAATTTGTTAGAAACTGCTGCTGTGGATTTTACATCTGTCCCTCAGCTTTCTGCAATTTTTATTTAATTTCTCAGTTATTAAGCTTCCTGGAAATGTTTTGTTTGGAAAGGCCATTTTATGCAAAGGCACAGAGTACTTCAGTAAAAGTACCAATAGCATTTCTACCACTGAACAGCCTGTGGCTGTGACTTACAACATAAAAGAACTGCATCTGCGTTACTGTGGCCAACAGGCAAATGGTGGAGTTGAACAGGACCCCAGGAGGGTAGCCCCTATCTCCATCTCAGACAAGGTGCTTGTCCAACCTGTCCCGAAAGACCTCTCAGCAGTAGTAGTTTGCTTGCCTACCCCAGTCCTTCCTGTTCTTACTACAAACAAACTTTTTGCACTGTGTAACTTGAATCTCCCTTGTTTCAGTTCAAGCCCAGTGTATTCTGGACATAAATCAGCAGTTGCTCCCCTTCCTCTAGGCAGCAGCCTTTTACATACAGGAAGAATGCCACTGCTTTTTTAAAGCTAAACAGCCTAAGGTCATTCAACCTTTCCTTGACAGGCTTTCTTCTCTAAATTTCTGCTCGTGTTCATTACTCTGGCCTTCTCCTCGATTGAAACTCTTCCTTAAACTCTTATCTTTCTTGGAGTTGCCTAAAATTAGGCACAATACTCCAGCAGAGATCTACAGAGTCCTGTGAAGAATGGATGTCCTAGAAGTCTGTTTAGACATCCCATTATACTACTTGCCTTTGCTCCAACAGTATGTCATTCATTTTGAAGTCCATCCATTTTTCCTTTTGGAAATAAAGAGAAACATAGTCCTGTTTTTTTTCTTTTCTTGGGGTAGGAGGTGGAAGTTGCTGCTGACAGATTAATCAGGAAGAGTGTCAAAACCTATTGTCTATTCTGATTGTCTTTTACACTATCAGCATGTTTACCTCTGTTTAGAAAAATGTATATTCAGTTAGAATATGGATTTCCTCTCATTACAGTATTAACGCGTTATTAAATGAAATGTGGGTGCTTTTGTGGTTTCTGTTAATAAGAATGGCCAAGTTATTACTATTTTTTGGAAACTTTGCTGTTTCTTTTTTTTTCACAACTGCTTTGCTCTGTCTTTATAGCTTTAAGTGCTACTGCGTTGAAAAGATAAACTGCAAGATAACATTTAACCAGAATGAATTTCTTTGCCACTACAGATGAATGTTCTTTTTAGTAATTTCTGTAGCTTTTCAGATTGAAAAAGTCCTTCTGTACATAAAAGGTCCAAACAATACAAGCCTCTGGCATAGTTTAATTCCACAGGGTAGGCAACTGGGCCTGAAGCAATAGAAGTCTAATAACATACATATCCATTAGTTCTATTCCCACTAGGAGTTTACAAAGTTTACCAGTCCATTTGATCCTGACTTTTAACTAGTCTGCCTGTGCTTTTTTATTCCACTAAGAATTCTCTTATATATGCATATAACCAACAGAAAGCGTCTTTGACACTATAGCACAGAGGCAGTAGAGAGATGGACTGTGGAAGCACATGATGTCAATGATAAATCAGTATATCTTGAGAGGATGTATTTAAAAATCCCTTTCTCCTGTTAATGGAATAGGAAAGAGATCTATCTTGAAACTAGTTCTGCAGGTATAGAGAAAAGTTCCTTAAGCCCATAGGTCTTGTACATGCAGACTTTGCATGAACTTCAGTTAATGATCTGTTGTTTTTAACTGTTCAACATCTGTTGGAAGTGCCATGCTGAAAATTCTCAATTGATGAAACAGCTACTGAAGTTGCAGTCGTAAAGCACAGCAAAAGGATCTGCTTCTCACCTGCACACCTCCCTTCCCCCAAGGAAAGAGTTATTGCCTATAAATATGACACCAGTTTTGTCCCCGGTACAGAAAAAGGAATCAATATGTGCTGTGTAAGTGAATTTATAATGCTTCTAAACTTCATAACTGTGCCTCACCTGCTTTGGCAGAATAGGGTGACAGCCTGTCAGGTGAAAGTAGGAGACAAAGGAACAAATGCCAAGGGACAGGTAAGGGAAAGTCCCCGAGCTTTTTGAGTATTTGCATATTTCTCCTACTTCCACAGGCATAATTCCCATAGCAGCAGAATAATACATTTTGAAAGGAATTCAGGAATTGTTTGAGTTTACTTCATTTTCATGGGAGGCTTGGCATAGAACAAACCGGTATCTATCAAATTTCTATGATCTATACATGTTTCTTTACTTTAGAAAAATATTATTTCCATTGCTTCGCTTTGACATGGGAAGGAAACTGATAAACTCCGCAAGTTTGTTTGGTTTTTATATGAGACTTTTGGCTTTGAATATAGACATCAGACTCCTTAACAGAAAACCTAAAATTTACACAAGCACGTTCTACTGAATTTGGCAGCACTGTATTTCCCACACATATAATCCATCTCTAATCTTTATTAAAGTTTTATCTCTTCACTTATGATTCCCTTGAAGGTTACCATGTTTTTCAGAGGAGTTTGCTGAATTTGGTTTATTTTGTCTTTAAATTCAAATCAGATATTTGAGGTCAGTGTTTATCACTTCAGCAAATCCTTTCCAGTGATTATGCTTTATTTTTCTTTTAGGTAAAAACTATATTTATAATCAAAGTTTTGTTGCAACTAATCTTTCAAAAGATGCATTTTGTCCTTTCTGTTCAAATTGCTTAAGACCACATAAAACTGAAAATCTAGTAAAAACATTCTCAGTCAAATATTACTCAGTCATATGAAGTGCCTCTCTCTGCCATGCTCTGTTAACCTTAAAGAACATAAAACCCAAACATGGAAAATCCTCCTCTTTTATGAAATTATGTAAACAACTCCAAATACCTATGACCTGGCTATATAGTCTTCAGCTCTCCCATCTACCCCTGTGGTGATGATGTTGGGAAGAAATAATCATTCAGAATCTTCTCTTTGGCTGTGTAGGATGATTCTGGTGCTGCTTACTGTGAGAGCAGGCTGAACTTGCAGAGGGTATGGCTTCAGCCTCTATGCACGTGAACTGCAATGGTCAGACTGAGTTTACTGGGTCCAGATTTTTCTGGAGTTCAGAAATCTATTGGGTACAATCAACAGGATAGTTCCATACTTCGTATATATCTATTTAAGGCCCAAAGTGACAAGAAGACCTGTGTGCTTAAAGTGGAGCATAGGTGCTTATGTCTGCCTTTACAGTTCTCAAAACACCTGTTCAGCTGCAATGCAACACTAGAGGTGATAAAAAAATTACTGAATTTTTTTTTTACTGTTAGGTTTTTAGGTACCTAAAGTTCCACTCCAAAACATATCAGCACTGTGACTTCCAACAAATCTTTTCTGTGAACTGAGAGACACTATTAAACCAGCCTTCCTCTGCTTCTCACTTCAAAAGCTCAATCCAGAAGTATTTCCAAGTGTATTTCCTTCATCAGGATTTACAAAACCTTCTATACTAGCTGACACTTTCCTCTTTAGACAACAAGAAGGAAGGTATAATCAAGTAACTTCTGGGTGACAGTTCAAGAGATTAGATGATGCAGAAAAATGAGTTCAATTTATTTCTTCTGTGTAAGAGGATTCAAACTTATCTTACAGAAGACCACCATAAAATGTGAACTATTTGGGGATGAACTTGAAGTGAACTTGAAGCTGTTCTATTCTTCAAATTATTTAAAAAGGGACTGGATGGATAAAGCAACTACATCCAAGCCTAGGCAGCCCCCTGACATGTAAGAGAGCAGGCTGTAAGTCCGATTTTGAGCTTTCTGACCCTCTACCTGTATCGTGTAGAGTGCCTTAACTCCAAATTCTGGGTTGTCACAGCAGCCAGATACCTTAAGTCCCTTTGCAAACCCCAGTATAATTGCTTTAGCTATTTTCGAAAACTGGACTCAGTGGAGAGAGGATTTCATACCGTATGTCCCTTTTAGGGTTCCAGTTCATCAGTCCAAGAGGGGAAAAGGTGTTAAGATCCTTTAAGAACTGATGGTTGTATTTGTTTACAGAGACTTCAGTAACACAGAGACACTATGTAGTGAGCAGAAATACTACTGTGAAACTTGCTGCAGTAAACAAGAGGCACAGAAAAGGTAAGCAAAGAGGCTATTCTACCATGTTCGTCCTGGGCTTTGACAAACCTACTCCTTGATATTTATTGTGTTTAGACACCTAGAAGCCTTAAACCTCACCTGAATTTCCATGTGGGCCAGGGAACCTACAGACAGATTCAAAGCTACCACACATGTCTTAGTCTAGAAGCTACTGCTAGCTGACTACCGTTACAAACTGCTTTTGTAATGCACATGTTTACTTGTTAAGGAAAGATGTAATGGCTTTGAACTGGTCAGATTTTTATCATATGCACTCTAACGGTTTCACAGGATGAGAGTAAAAAAACTGCCAATGATTCTTGCCTTACACCTCAAGAGATTCAAGTACATGGAGCAATTGCACAGGTATACTAAGCTGTCTTACCGTGTAGTATTTCCTCTGGAGTTACGCCTCTTCAACACATCTGGTGATGCAGTCAACTTGGATCGGATGTATGACTTGGTAGCTGTTGTTGTTCACTGTGGAAGGTAAGATACTTTCATATTTATCTTGAGCTATTGCCAGACATTTGCCAAGGGCAGAGGCATGCATGCCAAAATGTGAGTGTAGGGAGGAGGACATAAACCCAACTTTACCCATGTCTTGGCCTGAACCTCTTATCCACCCTCCCTCACAGTGAATCTGACCTTGTTTAAAAAGTCTCAAGCCTCCAAAAGTCACAAGTTTGGCTTAAATTAATGGAGGTGTCTCCTTTTGTCTCAGCCCACTTAGAGAGCTTGGGAGCCAGGACTCCATGAGGGTCGGGTGCTGTTAGCATGCAGGACCTACATCAGATCACCTTGTCTCCTGTCAAGGCAATGAAGATGATACCTTTAGTAAAGCTTCTCACGTACAGGATATTGTCAAATATGAAACAAACAAAAATCCCTGGGGCTCTGGGAATATGACTTGTTCTCCCTCTTCTCAAAGACTGTATGTAACAAAATACTCATGGTTGATATAGAACAATTTTCCCCCTTAATTCAGAAGGTTTTTAAAATATTTGCAATAGTTGATGCCTGCCACGAGCAAACTGTTAAGTATTCTATAGGTTAATTTGCAAAGGGTCATGGCACAGATGAAAACAACACATTTAGCTTTCAGTTCTTGAAGTCTTTGCAAGAAGTCAGTAAAACCATGAAAGGAGTGAATGTCTAATACACCACCAGGGGTGGGTTTACTATATTCTTTGTAACATTTCCTTATAATTCAGTCTGCTTGCATATAGAAATATGACTTATTGAAATGGGCTCAATAGGATATCTTCTAATATTTGGGGTCCGTGGTTTTGTTTTGCTTTTCAGTGGACCGAATCGGGGGCATTATATTACTATTGTGAAAAGTCATGGATTTTGGCTCCTGTTTGATGACGACATTGTAGAGGTCAGTATGCTGAAAGCCATGAGCACAACTTTCGTGTTTATGATCTCCTCTATTTGGAGATAAAATTCTAATCCAGATCTGGGTATAGATTACTACTCCTCAAAGCCGCAGTTTGGTTGTAATGCGACATTAGGCTCAACTCTGTTTGGAAGTAAGATTGCAAACTAGATTATTACTCCTGTAGTTCTTACTCTGTCAATGTCAGAGGGGTTTGTTTTATTTCAAGGCAATGTCAAATGTTTTTAATATCAGACTTCAAAGGCTTAATCTGGAATATTTTCTGTATCTGATAAAATCGGTTTGATTCATTAAACCCTAAAGTATCCAGGAACTATGTTGCAATCCTTGGCAATATACTTGGCAAAACTGGACTGGGTAAAGCTATCATTGCTGTAGAATTTTAATTTCTGGACAATTGGGATGTTACAAGAAAGTCTGGATTCTGTAGTTGATCTGGGTTTTTCTGAATGTAAATTGGAGCAGGATGGAGCCCACAGCTGTTATAGGTTCTGTCTAAGCATTCTGCAATTCACCCCTAAGCAAATCCTTTGTGACATTGTGGCACCTTGGGAAAATGGAGGTCTTGAATCTGATTTTCCATGAGTAAATCCAGTGGAAGAAAGTAAGCACTGGGACATAGGATGGGGCATGACTTGAAGAAGGTTTGTGTAAATTTCAGAAAAATAGGGTCACATGGTCGCATTTATGTGTTTTAACAGTATTCACTGCTGAATGCCAAGGATTCTGTTATTGGAAAAAGCCTAATTCAGTTAGGTTCCCTGAGACAAACATTCCAACTGACTTCCACAAGTGAGACCAGCAAGACTTAACCCCTGAAGATAACCTTTTCACTGCTTAAGTTGCAAACAGATTTTGCTAACTGCTACCTTGAAACAAAGAACTGAATTTGTCTTTTGTGTTTATACAGACGTGTAATCCGTGTTTGGTATTTATTTTATGTAACAGCACATTGTTTTTTGTATTTTGCAGAAAATAGACGCTCAAGCTATTGAAGAATTCTATGGTCTGACCTCTGATATATCAAAAAATTCGGAGTCTGGCTATATTTTATTTTATCAGTCAAGAGAGTGACTTGGCAAACTGTGACAATTGCACACAACGATGCTGCACGCAAAAGGAGGTGATGGCCCCCCTTAACTGACTTATACACAGACCAGATATGGTACGGCTGAACAGCGATACTCTCAGTCTCCTGTTAAATGGTCTATGTGACACCAACTATAACCGTCCATTTTTGACATGTGGAACTTTGTTTTGGGGAGGGGTTGTTTGTAGTTTTTAAGTCTGATTGAAGAGTTAATTGCAGTCAGGTTTTAGTGGAATTTATATGCACTAACATTTACAAACAGTAAGATTTGGATGTCAACTGTTAAACCAAATCCAGCTAGAGTAGTATTTTATATGGAAGTGTTCGTTGCATTTAGGGCAAAATTGTTTAAAACTTTCTAAACAGCTTTGGGGTGTATTGATTTACAAAGCATTCCTTTAAATACATCCTGACATATACCCATCCATTTTAAGTGTAAGGAAAAAAATCCATTTCATGATGATAGGAATTGTGGTTGTACAGGGAATTTTTTTTACGTATTACTCTCTGCTGCAAAAAAAAAAAAATATATTCCTCCAAAATCTTTTAAGCTTTGGGTTGTTAAAAACTTTCAGTGCACAACCTCAGGCCTAAAATTCACATAGAGGGATTTAAATTACAGTGGAACTAAGTAATTCTGAATGTCCAGTCATTTTGTTTATCGTGAGGTAGTACAGATGAGGTGAGATTTCAGAATTTACAGAGCGCTGGAATAAGGGGAGTGAGGTCACACATATGGCACAGAGATAAATTATGTTTATAGAAATTGAGCTTATCTTTCTGTTAAAATGATATCATAGGTTGTTTACTTAATTGAGGTTGCAGAGAATGCAACACTGCTCACGTATAATGTATCCATCAGGACTGAAATGACACAGTGCATTTACGTAAGCATTGTTTGTACAATATTTAAGACATAGATTAATCTTGTAATTTTCTGAATATCATTTTCAATTCTCAAGACAGAGTCCATTTAGCAACATACCATAATACATAACAACCATTATTTTACATAAGCTGTCATGTATATACCATCTCTAACATTTTGGCCATGTGTGACAGCATTTGAGTGACCACAGAAACAGATCGGGCTCTGGAGCATCTGATTTTAAAAGCGTCAAAAGGCTTAGTTTGTGATTTTACTGGGTGAATTTGGCTGGTACTAGTCATGCGCTGGCTAATAAAATTGCTGAACTCGCCTACTGGGATTTGGCAAAGAATTAACACAGAAGAAAGTATCACTAGGGTATGAGAAGGGATCGATAGCAGGTTGAGGCAGTGGTAACACTGGGTAACTACCTTGCTTGGTTTGACACTTTCACTCCATTATGCAATTCATGAACTTCAGTAGCCAAATTCCTGTTCTGATGAAGTCAACAGCAAAAGCACTCCTGCTGTCTTCGGAGGGACTGATGGTTCTAGTATTTACAAGGAAATATTCTTATCTCACAAAATTTATTTCTACCTGTTTTATTTCACTCATTCTTGTGAAGTATTTATTAGGCAACGTTGCTTTCGGTCATTCTTTTCTTTAAGAAGCCTGCCTCCCACTTTATGGCCAACACTCCATTTCAAGAAATGGCTTTTGAAGTGCAGCTGAATCTTATATTTTAGCCTTCTGTAGGACAGAGAATAGATTTTTTTTTTTTGCATTGTAATCTACTGTGAATGTGAAATATCTTTTGTTAAATAATGGTGAAGACGAAGTACTGGCTTCTACTGTAACAGAAATTGAAGTTCAGTTGGGTTTATCAATGGCCATTTTGTAAACTAAGAAATGTAGCACTTTACATTGAAAGAGAAACAGAGATGGACTTTTCATCTATCATGATTTGCAACTTATTGTGTCATTAAACCAATACAAGAAAACAGAATGTAACCTTAGAGCACTTAGGCAAATTATAGCAGCAGTCTACAGAGATGGCTCACATGGATGAAGGCTGCTGTGCAGGCTCAAGACAAGCGTAACTGGGATGCAACTCCAGTTCTTTTATTGATATTAGAATGAAATGTTCTGTCTCTAACACAGCAGACAGACATCTTGCAGGAGACTTCAGCTCTCACTGAGGCCCAGGAGCTTTTCCACTGAGAAGCTAAACCTGCAAATCCCACTTGAATGGATTTATTTATAAACATTCAAAATTTCCATATAAAAATATAATAATCACTTGCCGTTTAAAATGGATAAGGTTTCCTCATTGGCAGTGAAGGCACTTTCTAGCTCAGCATTAACCAGTGCTGGACCAAAGGTCTGTACTTCCCAGTTTGCTGCTGAAGATTCTTTAGGCATTCTTCCATTTTAAAACAAGCAATGATAAACATATTCTTAAGTGTCATTTGAACATTTAGGGGTCATGTTTATATGAAAATTAATTTGTAATAAAAATAATTTTTTAATCAGTTCACTTATAGGAAGTGTTTTACATATTTCAGTAGACTTATCTGAAAATTTACTTTTAATGTTAATAATATGAATTAATATTGAAATGCTCAAGTACTGGATACAACTCTTTGATTTTCTCCAGCCGGAAGACAGTTCTAGATTGTAAAATACATGGATAATTGCAGTGTAGTATTAAGAGTAAAATTAGGAAAGTAAGCCTTTCCATAAAGTATGAAAAATTTTGAATTGATGCTAGCCCATGAAAAGATCATAGCACTAGTATCACACTAGTCCAACATCAGTAGTCTGACATCAACTCTGAAAAATTGTCGAATATTCGCTTTACACTAACACTATCTAAAATAGCAAGTATTTTGTTTTGATTAAAAAATAAATAAATCGCAGTCATTATAGAATTACATCCAGTCTACAGTGTGCTGAATGTCTTGGCTTTAGTGCAGCAAAAGCTGTCCATCAGAGCTGTATGAATAGCGCCCATGTAGGCAGCAGAACTTCTACATCAAATTAAGCACATTTGCAGGGGGTTTGCAGAATTGGGATCCTCACAACAACAACAATTGCATGACATAAAGTATTTTAGTTGATTAAATAAAGCATAATCCTTTTTCTTTTATGCTTATGAACAGATTTCCAGCCCCTTATGAAAGAATGGAATAATATTTAGGATAAACAAGGCTTTTCAGCCAGCAGCTAGAAATCAAAATTGTAGCGCTGATGTCTAACAGTGTTTTGTGCATCCCTAAAATGACTATTTTTTATGGTGTCAGGTCTTGCTGTATTAGGCCTGCTGATCTCTGAAGTTTTCTACTTGTTTCACATGCTGTTGGTGAGACGAGTTGTCCATTTATAAATCTTATTACAATGTTCTTACTTGGAAGAAAGAATATTTTTCTCCTGTGCTGTTTTTCCACAGAATCCAATGAAGAGCTGCAGTGCTGATGCATCAGTTGTCTTAGGGAATGAGCTCAGACCTCAACTTTTATGTTTCACAGAACAGTCTGTCAGAATTTTATGTAATTTCTATTTTTGGGACATAGCAGAGGGAGGCAGAAGAGAGAAGTGATAGAGAAACCATACTAGTAAAGCAGAAAATCTTGTTGAAATTAAGTGCTCGAGTTACTCCTGTCAATTTTATTTTAATAACTTACAGTTACCTCAGAGCTGTAGGTTGTGTATTACAAGTCTTGTTCCTTTAGCAGCTGGAGTAAAGAAAATAAAGCAGTAGGCATTTCCTTTGCATTAGGTTGAATTAATGTATTAAAGATGTAAGCTGAAACTGAAAATCACTTTATACGATGGGTCCTAAAGTGATGCCACAACCTGTCTTTTAACTTCAGACATTGCATTTCATTCATCCGTCTGTTACAGCATCACGTACCTGGGACCTGAGCCGACAACTTGCAGCTGCTGGTGATTTGATGTCTCAGTAGCAAACCCTTTTGTCTCTGTTGTGTCTCTTTTTCGTTGCTCATGGCTGACAAGTGTGAGCAGTATCTTACAGCTGAATGTGTACTAGAAATTTTAAGAAGTTTGGGCTGTGTACCTGTTCTTTGTTAATACCTTTTATAAGCATTTGGTTTAATTTATTTCTCTTTTGTTGGACTGTTATCGTATTTGTATAATAACTTATGCAGTTAATTTTATTAGTTTTCTGTTTTAATTTGTATGTACTGTGATATTTTTTTAAGTGTAATCAACCCAAGCACTTTAAGCAATAATGTCAATCTTATGAAATTCCACCAGTTTAACACTTTGCCTTTGTCTTTTTGCTTTTGCAACTCTTTGCTTGTGTGATCTGGTGTCTCTAGTTACAACCCAATTTCCATTTTTAGGCTTGTTGTCCTAGTTGAGTTGTAAATTTCGAAAGCTTAAATTTTTTCATACATAACAAAGATGCGGTATTTAGTATGTGTCTGCTACAGATATGTAGCTGGCAAGTTGCACTCACAGTGCACATTTCACAGCCTTTTCTGCTACCTACTAACCTGAGAATGACTGTAGTTCTTTAATCTGTGGCACATTATCAGTAACTATAATTTAAAAAAGCTCCACCTCCGGCAGGAGAATTCTCTTTTACCAAACACAGTTAGCTGTCAATCAGCTGATGATACAGATATTGCTCTCTTTGCCATTTTATCTGTGCTCTGTAGAGTCTCAAGTGTGAATAATCTCAAGAGCTGCATTTATTCTCAGCCCTTGTGTGAGTGCTAGGAAGGAGAGCAATCTTTTTTGCATCTTCTTTCTCTCCTCTTGGGCTCATACAGAGCGAAAAGATAATGAAGTAGAGTAAGTGCTGGTGGAGAAAAACCACATGATCTGTCAAAGACACTGGATATTTCTTGAAGGCCAACATCTGTAGTATCCATACCAGAAAGTCACTGCCTTTCTGCGTTGTTAATGCAAGGGTTATTCTTAATTTTTTAGACATCATATTCTCTTTGATCAATGAAAAAGACCAAGGCCTTTTCCTGTTGCATCAATTCTGTTGCTGAGGTTTTTCTTCTCAATTTAACGTGACACTTAATTTTTAAATAGCCTTTGGGAAATCTGGATAGACACCCTTTTAATTTCTTTCCAGTTAACTTGCATTACTTCAGAGATTGCTTAAACCTGTCTACAAGATTTATTCAGATTAAGACACTCTTTTTGCCTACAAGGTCAAATAACACCTATCAGGAGGTATGTGCCCACCTGATGGGACCATCTGGGCTAAGCCCACACCTTTTTTATACATTAATGATTCTTTACCCCCTAAGAAGTTTGCTTGCTGGCTTTGCCCGAGTGATTTAATACAAAACCACACATAACTCCCTTTATTCGTGGTCTCAGAGTTCCTATAATTCTTTAATAATTCCACTTCATTTTGTTATCAAGATGGGGACTGTTGCACAACATAAATTGTGTGTGCCATTCACAGTGGTCAATGTAACAGTCTAATGCTTCTGTTGAAGACTGTTGCAGGTGTCAACTTCACTATATCTAA